CCTTGCCTATAAACTTAACTTTATGTGTTGTGTACTCGGATGCCTTTATGATGGGCTAAAGGCACATATTTATAGGTGGAGAGAGGACCTAATTCCTCTTTAGGGTTTCCTTAGGATTAATCTCAACCATCCATCAAAGTAGAGATTGATTAGGAATTAACTCCATTATTTCCATTTAATTGGACACCAAATATATTATGGAATAACATTATTCCAATAGAAAACAGATCTACATAAGACCACATAATAGGAAAAGAAAGTATTATTATATATTCCTTACACAAACAACTTCTCCATGACCGAAGAAATAGTTGCTGTAGAAATGCAGGATAAAATATCAGTCATTAATAAAAAAAATTTATTCCAAGAACGATAGTGGAAATTTAAGGTGCTACTCACATTTCTGAAATTCTATTTGATATTTTATCTGGTATATATTCAAGTTCTGCAAGGGTGAATGTCAAAAAAGAGCGTTCTTTTTGTTTTGGCAACTTCCTGAATTTGTCAGCCAAGTGTGTTAGCACGATTCTAAGGACATAACAACAAAAAGTAGATTCATCCCTAGAATAAGTGTTGATACGTGAGTTTGACAATATATTTATTAAACAGTAAGAGATTCGAAAATTCTCGTTTATTGATAACGTGCTCGAAAATGGGTTATAAGCATCATACAAATAAGGAGTAACGAATATAAAGGATGCTGAGCTCGGAAGCTTATAAGCTGACGAACCTTGTGCTTCACGGATGAACTGAGTAACGAGATCGATGTCTAGTGTGGATCAATAACGAACCACTGTGCTATTGAGTGTGGTGATTTACTGTTTGTTTATGTATAAAGAAGAGAGGTCTTTGTTCTTATACTGGATAAATAGAGCAAATGTTGCGCATACCCGTATACGGACCTTGCAAAAGATACATTTATGTATTTGTTTCTTTTGATCCATAGGACTTGTTTTGTGACATTCTATACTGGTTTGGAGACAAGAACAAAACAGAAGGAATATCCAAATATTTCATGTAACGTATAGCAATTGTTGGTAACAAAAAATACCAAAGCATTGGAAACAAGTATAAAAGCTGAATACACAGTGCGTAAAACTAGAATGTAGTTCATTTATAAATAGACTTGCACAAAAACAAATAAAAAAAATTCCCCAACCATATGCAACACCGGTAATAGAGTTGACGGAGTTGGTCCGGAACTTGGGAGGTGTTAATGAAGCAAAAGACTCAATCGCATAATTCTCAGCTGTAATTCGCAATTCGTCTTCGCCGATCTTGAGTAGCATTTATCTCATCCACATCCATTCCAACAGTAAGGGTGGCGACATCATAACAATATGTATAATTTGGACCTGCG